AAAAAAAGAACGAACTATGGTAAGTTCGTTTCTTTTTTTTAGGTTTTTTTTTTATTTTTACTTAAGGGAACGTAATTAACGTTCCCTTTCTTTTATTTTTAGGAAACCTGGACGCGAGACGAAGCTGAACGACCAGGATTTAAAAGAACGAACTATGGTAAGTTCGTTTTTTTATTTTTATTTTTATTTTTTTTTACTTTAAGGAAAGTAATTAACGTTCCCTTTCCTTTTTTTAGTACAAGGACCAGATCCGAACCAGATTCAGATCAGATTCAAATCGGATTCAAATGGATCTGAACCAGATTCGGATCAAATTGAACCAGATCTGATCAGATTCGGATCAGATCAGATCTATTAAAATAAAAATCAGATCAGATCAGATTTAAGCTAAATCCGGTCTGAACCGATCTGTTAGGAGCACTAGTAATAGGACCAAGAAAGGAAAGATTTTCACAAAAAAATTCTTATTGTTGCGAACCAACACGTGACTTTTACTAATTAATTTGGCAGTGACCTTTTTGAAAATTAATTATAGCCTCGAATCATGTTTGGCGGTAACCCCTATTAGAAGTTTTCCAGGTCCTACCAAGACCCTGAACAATATATATATAGGTCAGATGAAATTTTTAAAATTTATTAAGATCAATAAGCAAACTATTTTCAATGTTGCTAAGCAAACTCTTATTATGACTTTAAATTTTTTCATGCTACTAAGCAATTTATTTTGTGACTTATTAAAAAAAAATTTTAATTTCTTATTTATGATTAGTGTTAATTTTTCGATAAAAGTTACTGTGCGGATGGTGCTAAGGTTGCTTGCCGAAACCTAGGGGTTTAGGCAAGATGGCGTTTTGCCGAAAAGCGAAATTCTGCCGAAACTATATTAAAGTTATATTAAAAAACTGGCGAAACTTTGGAGAAAGGCGAAACTGCCGAAACTTATTATAAATGCCGAAACTGCCGAAACTCTGCCGAAACTATAATAAATCTATAGTAAAATTTTGACGAAACTAATCGTAGGATTTTGAAGAGGTTTAGACAAGCAACCTTAGATGGTGCACAATTTATTGAGTCTTATTGTGCGGCAAAGTGGTATGGCTATACTACTATAATAGGCACTATAACATATATGCACCCAATCATATAAGGATATTTCAAAATTTTTTGTGCACATACTGCACATCCTTTCTAAAAAAGGTGTGCACAAAATTCTGATCATTTGCATTACGCACATGTCGCACAGTGAAAAATAAACACTGTTTATAATCATTACTTTATTATATCATATTAATAATACTATTTTTAACAGTATCACGATTAAAATAATTAAAAATATTTCATGCTACTCCTGTTAATATTAACGAACTATCACCAATTATTAACCCATTTGATTTAATATGATATATAATATTATGAGAACAATTGTAACAAATATTTATTTTAAAAAATATTTTTATACATTATATAAACAAGGAAATATAAATTATAATACATGTCCACAAAAATAATTGAACTTCTAAATGACAATAGGAATTATTATTATAGTAACTAACAAACTGAATATCTAAAGATGGCTGTTTTTCGAAAAAAAAAATTTTTTTTTTGCTTGTTTCAGATGAATAAATAGTATATAACCTTTCACAGTTTGACTTGCAAAAATATTGAGATAAATTGGTAAATAAATTTGCAATGAAATATAGGATAAATCTTCAATTTGAGGGACTGCATTTTGGCTATATATATATATATATTATAACAATGGTTACCATAACCTTCATAATACATTGCTATTACCTTGCCAATACAAATTTTTGTTCCATATAGTACAATTACATAATCATTTTGCTGCAATGGAAAATCTTGAGTAATATTTGCTGACTCAATACACATAACTGCATTAAATAATAAATTATTAATAAATTATATAAATTTAATATATTATGTTTAAAATTTATTATACTTACTTTTACTTGCAACTTTATTAATGCATTTCCGTTTTGATAATTCATTTTGTTGTAAATTTGCAAGATTAGCTGTCATTGTTTTCCAATTTTCTTTTCATCGCTTTTCACGTTGTTTTATAAATCGCATTTCAGGATTATTATTATTTGTAAAATGTGAAATTATATGACTAGCCTTATTTGGATTAATAGTGTTTGTTTGTTCGTGACTGATTGCATGTGTATGATTTTGTCTTTCAACTGGCCTTGAATTATATACTTCATGACATTTTTGTAATGCAATCATAGTTGAATAATCCAGTTCTCCTATTGGAAAAAGATATCTATTAATAGAAAAATCTTTTCAAAATTATTAATTATATTAATACTTAATAATAATATATTGTTAAAAGCTAATATAATACCATACCATGTGGAGTAAGTTGTTGAAAGATTCTTGTAGTATTATTTAAAGTTGAAATAATTTGTTGTTGATAATTTTGATCATTAATATTCTCATTCTCAATATTTGAAAAATTAAAAATAGTATCAATCGTGTTGGTAATATGCTTGGAAGCTTAACTGATTGTATCAGAAACTTCTCTATCGATTTCAAAATTTGTCTGGATTATCTGAACTTAATTCAATTCCAGTTGATACTTCTAAATTTTGCTCCTCTATTAGTACTAGGAAAACGGAAACTGTTGAGGGTCCGTCGCTTAATATGCTTAATAGTAACTAATTTACATTGTATAAATGATCAATTGGTCACCACTCATGAAATGTTTTTTAAATATAATATATATTATTAATAAAATTTATAATTAATTAATCATTACTGTTATTTGTTTTATTGTCTATATAGTATAAAAATAATTTAAGATTGTTAAAATTATTACAAGTATAAATTTTAATCAAAAAATGACAGATCGTCAAAGTACAATTTGCAAATCACGTGACTAAGGTTGCTTGTCTAAACCTCTTCAAAATCCTACGATTAGTTTCGTCAAAATTTTACTATAGATTTATTATAATTTTGGCAGAGTTTTAACAGTTTCGACATTTATAATAAGTTTCGGCAGTTTCGCCTTTCTCCAAAGTTTCACCAGTTTTTTAATATAACTTTAATATAGTTTTGGCAGAATTTCGCTTTTCGGCGAAACGCCATCTTGCCTAAACCCCTAGGTTTCAGCAAGCAACCTTACACGTGACAGGAAATCACTTTTTTCACTCGCGTCAAATTGCAAATACTTTCGCATACATATTTGATAATTATTTCGCAATATCTATAATCTTGTAATCCATTGATAAATTTGTTCAATTATTAAATCTTTTATTAAAACTTTTGCAATGTCTAATTTTAATATGGTAAGGAAATAATGTCAAACCTAATGCTCACTGATCGAAATCAAAACTTTCGACTGTTAAGAGCTTTCGGCATAAATTTTGCCGATTGGTCATGTGATTCGTCACATTTTTTGACCAATGGTAAAAATCAGTAAAATCAATCACAAATCGACTGATACTGATTGTTAAACGAAACCTCGTTCAGTCTTTTGGTGAAAAATCGACTTATACAGATTGTTATACGAAAAATGATTACTTGAGATCGTTCAGTAAAATTTTGCCGATTGGTCATATAAATCGACACATTTTTGCCAAATGGAAAAAATCAAAAAAATATGTTTTTTTTTAATTCGAATTTATACTTGTTTACATTGTTTATATTCAGTGCATAATCATTAACGAAAAATTTTAATTGTAAAAATGAATTTCAACTCGTCTTTCGTCAAGAAATTATAATAAAAATACTACAAAAGAATCTTTATTTGGAAATTTCGTAAAAATTTTGTAAAAATGAAATTTCGTCTAATAAACGTGTCTCTCGACAAGTAATTATGAAATTTTTTTTTTTTAAAAAAAATAATAATAATTCGGCCGATTTTTACTAAAAACACTTAATTATTAACGAATTTGGAGTTTGCGATTAATTGGATTAATCGCCAAATATTCAATAGCATTACTCCGAGTAGAAATTCAATATTTTGATGGTATAAATCGACAAAGGATATTATGTATAGGAATAATACAATCGCAGCTTTCATCATAAAATTCAGATTTCCACAACTTGACGTCTTCATCATCAATATGAAAATAATATCGACTTTCACTCATACTAGCTGGTCGATACCAACGAATATATGCCAAATTATATTCCATTTGTCCATTTGGCAAGTCGACTGTATGTTTGAAGAAGTATTGAATTTGTCCAGGATAACTGTCGACTTCCCCATCACTAGTTATAAATTTGGCTAGGACATACAAGCTTTTTGTATGTCAAACTGACATTGCGAAGCCAAATACTTCAGAACCAATTCGGCATCTTCCAAATTGATTTATCTTTACTCGAATTGTTATAGAATCTTGGATAATTTCATCTGCTGGTTGTACATTTCGATATAAGAAGCATTATAAAAAGCAACCATCAGTTCGAGCATTGATTCGGTCATTATTGCTTCGGAACTAGGCTTCAGCATTTCTCCAGAAAACAGCTCGCATCCAGTAATAGTCGATTCCTGTATGTTTTTAGCATCCAATATTGAACCAGTTGTGGGTTGATCTTCAAGCAATTCTAAACCTTTCGTTTAAATGTCAGAACTAATGATATCTCCAATTCGATTATCATTCATTATCAGACGCATTATTTCCAGTTCAATTTGTCTATTACTTGTTGGCAACGAGCCTTAAAAATTATTAAAAATAAGACTAACAATGTAAACATCCGAATAAAGTAAAAAAAGTAAAAAAAAAGAATATCTTACCGAGTATTCCATTCATACGCTTAAATGAAAAACACTAAAATGCATATAATGGACCAAAATCATTTGAACAATCACACAAATGGAGCGAAAGGTGAAGATTAGGCGTAATTTTTACTCTTCCATAGTGTACTTCAATAAGCTTAATTATTTTAATTAACCTCTCATGAGCTTCTTTCATTAATTCAATTTCTAAAATTCGGCTTACTAAAATAGAACAAACTCTAACGAAATGTGTCAAGATTTTTCAATCTTTTAACGGTAAATGTTCCC